TGTGGACACTATACTGCAGCAGAGAGGTCAGAGTCCTCTAAATACAATAATTGACACATTTTGTTGTTTTTTTTCGAACGTTGTTTAGATAATAATATAGTAATACACATAAATAATAAATACATATACAACGTTATGAAAATAGTCGTTCGAATAATATACACGCCCAATTCCAGACAGTGTCATTTAATGCCATTCAATTTTAATCAGCACAGTACGTGGAACTACATAATTGCAAGGAAATTTTTAAAACACAAAAAATATTAACTTTTCAAAAAAAAAAGAGATGATTAAATTCTTTATAAATGTGTACAATTTTAATTTCAGTTTGTAATATAGAACGTATATATACATGTTTAAATTAAGTTATATACATCATCATTAATTATAAAATATAAAACCTCTAGGAAATTTTGCAAAAAAACATTTTTAAAATCCAATAATTTAGATGCTGAGCGGAGCGCTATTCGACTATCTATCGTGGTTTTCGGATTTTTTAAGTATAGGTACTTAAATATCATTTAAAAAGTGTCCTGTGGCGATCCAAACTGCATTTATACTAAAAACTGTTAAGCAGATGATTTTTTTTTACCATTTTATACATCTACTAAAACTCAAACAAATATTTTCTAGTCATTAAACTGTATGTACCAAGAATAACAGTCACTTACTCCTTAGTAATGGTTTTACATCAAACGTAAGACAGATATATTATATTTTAATCAGTTAGTACCTACTAATTATATGTACTCGGAATTTTTTTTACGAATTTACAATACAATTTTTAAGCTCAAACAGCCATCGTCGTATACAATATTGTGATTTGCAATTGTAGTGAAGGTATTTATCGTATATATTTTTAATTAAATCTAATTAAAAAAGGAAACAAAACAGTTGAATAAAATATAGATGGTACCTACGTAGGTAGTTAATTAACGACGAAGATTGTATATTAATATAAACGCATCTTCTTTGAAATATTGTAATCTAAAAAGGGTTTCACGGGACAGTTTCTTTTTACTCTTTAAAACAACGAATCCCCGATACAAAATAAAAAAACGCACTTTATGTTAATTGAAACTGTTTTCGGTGTAAGTTTGTCACTGGACATTTATTTTTAAGAGTTTCACGGCAAACGGAAATTAAAAGTGCGCGCGGGACAGGAAGTGTTGCTTCTCTGGGTTGTGTACATAAATATTTCGGATGCCATTATGGCGATGTTTATCAATGTTAATTAGACAAAGTAAAAAAAAAAAGATCATATATGGAACAACACTACATGGGACATAATTTATTATTATTGTAATATTATTTACGCACGACAACGACAGTTCAACTATACGGGGTCCGATGGGTCAGGACGGTCGGTCGTAAGCCGCTGGGCAACACAACTACTGTACAACTACTATCATAGTATATTATGATGTATTATTAATAGTTATACCAGGGTACATAATAATTTAAAATATTATGATTTCCGATTGCGGATTTTAATTACGACGAATAGTCGACGTGGTAGCCGTGGTTTTCGGTGTCATAATAGTACACGTGATAAATATTACATTATTTCACACACAATGTAAATTATAATAAAATAATACATCACGTCATGGCGACCAGTATGCGGTTTAACGCACAGCGAGCTAGTACATGGTACGTCTTCGTCGTCGCCGTCGCGTGAAAATATTATAATAATATTGTAACGTTATTGTATACATATTTTATTATTCGAACATGGGTACAGGCACGACCGTTAAAACCCCGCGGTATAATCAATTCATTCACGACGGTTGATTAACCACTTTGACCGTAACTAAACGGCTGTGAAACGGCAATCGTTATAAATATAATAATAATGACATACATATTAAATAAAACTCTCGCGCCGGGGAGGGTGATGGGGTGCGGCGCGGTGGCGTGTCAGTGCGTTTGCATATATATATATATATATACACGCCAACACAATAATAATATCGCAGTTGTTTTTATTTTTTTTTAACGATGGAAATTCGGATAAATATTATTTAAAACCGACGGCGACGAGCGCAAGAGCAGCAACCGGCGAAGGTTCGTTAGAAAATCGAAATCGCGCGTTCGCTGGGATCCGGCGATGAGTATGAAGAGGGGTTGCCGCCGCCGTCAAGCGAGGCGCGCCGGAGGAGGGAAAAAATGAATAATGCAAGACAGGCGACGTTCTCCCAGATTTATTCGTATTTTCGGCACACACACGCGCACACCCATATATATGCGAGTTTATGTGCGCCGTTTGAGGAAAAGTGTTTTGTCGGCTACGATGGGTCAAAAAGAGATTGATTCGAAAAGTCGCGTGCGTGCCGCGGCCTGGTTTGGCCGGTCCGTGGAAATACGTCTAAACAAATGACTTTGGAAAACTGTTGTTGGACGACGGTAATCGAATGTATAATAAAATATTTTATTATTACGTTTTAAAACTCTCGGTGCCTGCGCATCAGGGTTCGTCGAATGGGATGTTTCAGAGAATAATATATTATGTTGGTTTTTTAAACGAAAATATATCAGAATATCTATTTATCATAATATACGCGTATAAATCATATTAAGGCGACGACGGGACCTGCCAGCTACTACCCGTGACTTCACAGCGGTCACTGTACGAAGAATCGGTCAGATGCTGTACAGAATATTTAAACAAATACAAACCTGATTTAACTATTGCCATTGATTCGCATAAATTAAAGTGATAAAGTCATCGAAGGACATAACCGAGTACTACGTTTCATAACAATATTATAATAATATGATAATTGTCTCCGCGCAAGGTGTAAACAATTCACAGGGAAATGTTATAGGTGGTTACCCAATTATTTCGTATAAAACAATCTAGCCGAGTGCCACGGTACAATATACATGAAACATGAAATTATTAATTAAAAAATAACAAGAAACACTTCTAATTGTATGTTATTTAAGCAATAATAACTTAAGGTTTATTATAAAAATTAAAATTAAAAAATAAACAGAAAAAATGATCAAGTGGAAAGTACCTAAACGCAATTATTTAGGTATCAGAAAAACAAAAATCAACATAAAATTACCATTAGAGACATAAGCATCATAAAATATTTCTAAAATTAAAATGAATGTCTACATCAAGCTTACACTCAACATAATTATTAAATAATAATTTCAACTCTTTAAATGTCAACAATAAAATGACAAAAAATATATATAAAAAGGTGTATACAATTATATTAATGCTGTATTCTGTTACTTAATTTACAGAAGTATTCAAATAATAATACTGTTTTTAATTATTATTATAGGTATGTATTTATTTGGCGCAGTAAACGATTATATATAATTACATTTTAAACATCATTTAACTTTACTCAGTAAAAATTAATAACTGCAAAATGTAAACTACAGTTCAGAATAACGTTGTTGTTCACGTCAAAAATAATGAAAATCCTTTCGGTAAAGATTTTTTCACCTAAGTATGCATAAGGTATTTAGATACAGTGGAGGAGTGCTTGACAAGCCTACAAATACGTTTTGCAATGGATAAAGATTTTCTTAACGTAAGCAGATTTTCATGGTCGTTGTAGATGTGAAAAAATGTCATGCTTGTCACAAAATTTTCAACTCGGTAAAATACAAGTTATACATATAAAGAAAAATATAAAAAGCATTTACAGTATAGTAGTGTACGCAGAACATTTTTTTATTATTATAATTTTTTTGTTAAACTACATGTACTATAATAGCTGGGTACCTATGTAATACCTAGCTTTGGGCTACTTTTTATGTTCTAACTCTAGCGAAAAAATAACCAGTCATGACCTTAATAGCATAAGTACTTATATATTTCAAAAACTGATAAGATGAGTATGCAATGCAATTAACGACGAAACACTATTGGTTAGATAATGCATATATAAAAAAACTATTTAAACTATAATATAATAAAATTAATGATTCATAGAACATTCAGTACAGTAGCAATATAGATACGACTAAATAGTCTTTTTTTTTTAAGTTAGTTAAATATTTTTGAAATTGTTTTAAATAATTACGAGTACCACATAGGATATAATTGATAATATAAATTGGTAGGTAAAATTCAAATGAATATATGTTATTTTGATGTTTTTTATCGATACCAATGATATAGCGAACACGAACTATTAATCATAATCATTGTATGTATTATAATTAATAATGAATAAACGGTATATTGAAATAAATAAATAGTTTATACCTATGACCAATTAAAAACACATTATTTAAACAATAAACGAATGTGTTTCTAATTTGATTTAATTAAATCTCTCAACTCGCAAGTGTTTCATCAAAATATTTTGCCACGTATTAAAACTAATTAAAATTATCACCAAGCTAAGCCAAAAAAAAAAAACATAAACTTCATCGTAGAACTCGTCAGTCAGTCGAAAACAGTTCATTAATACTTCATCATATCGACGTGGCCTTCGGTGTATAATAATAAAAATGCAAGACGACGAATAAAAATGATTTAAATAAATCATTAATTGACGCATATACGAATAAAACGAGGGAGAAAAATGTGTAGAACGAAACTCGGAGAGATTGTACATTGGTACATGGATATTAATATAATGTATATTATAAATTATTATATATTAGGAGAACAATATTCGTTTAACTCGTATAGAGGGATTTTCAGGAGAGACAATATGTGTCAATTATAATTATATTTGACTGACGGCGGAGAAGTTCATTTTGTATCGTTAGCACGTATAATAATTGAGACCTTGTCAAAAAACAACATGATTTACAACTGGAAAATCTATTTACTGCTAAGCCAGTGACTTGTGATGATGATGATGATGTGCATGTACGCATATAGATATATACAACATACTACGACATCATCAATAAACCGGAGAAAAAGTGAAATCGTTAAAAACTATTTATCCGACAAAATAAATATACCTATACTCAATTTTTGTAGTTTTAATTCTCAAAAAAAAAAATGTACTTACCGTGTAGGTGAGCTAGAGAATGTAGAGTGTTCGAGTTGATGAAACCTGAAACAAATAAAAATTATTTTATTAGTTAATCTACTCGTTAAACACTGATAATGTGTTAATAAATTACAGTAAATTGTTGTAAATTGTCTGTATATACGAAAAGAAACAGTTCTCGTACATATATGATATATACATATAGGTTCAGCGCACTACTAATACAATATTAATATATACTAATATAATATTATTATATAACGCAGGTAATCTAAAATAATAACGTACATTGATTGTCGAAAAGGTTTAAACGTGACCTTTTTACCATTATTTGTCCGTATTTTTTGGGTGTATGAAACACGTTTTTAAGAGAAATATTACTGGCTCATACACAAGCACACCGCCGCTGTACGTATTATATATATTATTATTATTATATTGTTAAAACGCACCTTTTTGTGCTGGCTCGTCACGTAATAAACAGTAAGTTTCACAATGTGTTCGAACAATATAAAAGCTGTCGTGGAAAAAACCAAAGGGATTTGAAGTCTTACGGGCGTGAACGTTTTTCGGCCAATACTATTGCATATCGATATACGCAGCGATTTAACTTTTGACTGTAAATAAATACCTCAGCCACACGGGAATAATATAAAACGTACCTACATACATTTATGCGGTATGAATTGTATACCATTTAGCAATGTTTAAGACACAATATTGTGTACAGGGTGAACCGTGAACATATTATCTCTGGAACAGTTATCATTTTTACATTGACATATTTAAATTTTAAATTTAATGTTGTCACATATAAGTACTCACATTTTCCAGATACACTACGGGGGCCGAATTTAAGGAAAACGCGTCTGCAACCATCTCGTGTTGCCGCCAATCTAATTTTAAATTTTCCATAACATAAAGTACATTTTAAAAGCTGCATGCGGAAAATCTTAATTTATCAGATCAAATTTTGTTGTTTCGTTTTATTATTTGCAACTGACGACATTTTATAAATATATATCGACATTTATGTTTTTTAATTCATTTTTTTGTCATATCCAAGACAAAAAAAATTATGATACTCATTCCACAGGTTCTCCGTTGTTCAAAATAGTCCAAATACGGCCCAGCCATGCACCCTGTACAGTTTAATGATGACGAAAATATTTCCTGTTTATGATTCAGACGAGTAAGTGGGTACTGATATAGATATTATAAGTTATAACAAAATGGCGTATGTTGTTGATACCGCTGATGGTTTGTTTGCGTAATATATATAGTTTATATATATAAAAACATAGGTACTGCACGTGCACGTGTTATAAACGGTTTTAATAAAACAAAACAAATCTCAGCGATACGAGCAAACGAACAACATAGTCACGACGACGAGAATCATACGCTGCAGCGACATAATATAATAACAATGATATTGACACGAAAATAAGAATAATATAGCCGAAAGTGTACACCAAAAATGCTAATATCAAGCTAATATTATAATTTTATAGCGATGAGGACGAAAGTCGGAATCGCCGTATCATTGTGTCCATCGGCAACAGCTTCGGTTATTATTACTATTGTATAGGTGGTAAAATATGATAATAATATGCAAGGGAAACAGCCTGGATACTGTCATCTGTAGGTATTTACGCGACAGTCTTAAAAATGACTTAAATGATCAATACTCTTTATAGGGTAACTCTCCCAAGTTGTCAGATAAGTGAAGACACACAGAAATCGGTATGACCGAGCAATCTCTGTAAAATAATATAACCGGATTGCTGACATAGCGTACACCATAGCAGCCAGTGTTCTATGTGTCGGTACCTTAAGTGTCAACATATTGATGTCAAGTCTCGTTATCAAGTTGACCATTTTGTTACTGAGCTTTATAGTCTCGTAGAGCTCTTCCAATGTCCCGTTGAAAGCCCGGAGAAGACAGCCGCTTACAATGTGTGAGCTGGACTTGAGTAGCCGCAATCACAATCGGGCCGGTCCGTCGTCTTACATTTGTAGCAAGCGCCACTCCAGAGAGGCCGTGTCCTGTGCGTAATCGATTTACATAGGTGTTATTTGCTGCTCAGGGGCAGAGCTATTCTGTTTATAGAATAGATCAAGTTGCAGCAGTTCTATACTTATTTATGTTAAAATTTTGCAATTTTGCCACTTCGATCGTTTTCATTCATTGATTACAATTTTTAAATACATAGGTTTTTCAGATTTCAGCCTAAGCAGATTCTTAATGCATATTTTTTACATCGAATATCTACAGGTGGAAAAATACTAAAATATGACACAAAATCGAGAGCCGGTCTGCGGGCGTTGATTTTGGAGAGACTGTGATCGATGCCTTTAATTGAACTTCCGTATATTGTGAGCTCACCGTTATTCTATACAGGCAGAGTCGAAGAATCAGCATGTGTCCCTGACGGCGCTAAGGACGCGACGTTCTCGGTGTGCCGGGCATTGCTCACAGGCTGAGCTCGGTAATTTGTGTATAATATTATTATGTTAATCCGAGTCTTAACAGCTTCGATGCAATTGTTTGGATAGGTACCTACTACACTATCACACGAAATACCTGCACGATCCTGCAGCACTGCACACAATGTTATGGCAACTGCCGACCACGGTGATTTACGACGTTTCCTCCGAAATAAATTAATCTGTATTGCGTGCGGTAATAATAATTGGAAACAACCGCTGATACGTTTCAAACGTATATAATAATAATAATAATAATAATAACAATAATACAATAACTGCAATGCACGCATTGTACTATGCGACACAGAGAAAGTTTCCGAGTGCTTCGTAAATTATTTGACATGTTTATTGTTCTCCGGGAAACTGCGAGTATATACGCCCGTGTAAAATATATACATATTATAAATTTTACGGCGATGAGTCTTCTCGTGTACGATTGTTTGCGTACAAAATACTCGTACACTGCGTATTATATACACACAACAGTTCGATGACGTCTAATAATAATAACAACATAACGATATGACGATGATGATTGTTATTTATTATTAATAATCGAATAAATCTAGTTTTTTAGAGGAAGTCGAAGCGAGTTCTCGGGATACGTGATCATAAATAATTGTTTGAATTAGTTATGCATTATCTGCTGCCCGCTTGATGTAGCGTTACGGGCAGTATATTATTATTGTTGTACAGCTGCTATAGTTTCCGGTACGATCAGTACAAAATGTTTTGCATGCATAATTAAAAACTCATCGATTTCAATTAAACTGTTTCGTCAAAAAGTCAAATGTAAAATATAAAATAACAAAACGCTTGAGGGTCGCATCACTAAAACATATAATATTATCGGTCGATCTATCTATCTGCTGCAAAGCGATCTGAGGGTAATAATGAGAATATATCATGCATATATTGTGTTATTATTATTATTTATTACTATTATAGGATATAACTTAATATTGAACAAAAACGTGTTTCGTCATTCATTCCATTACACATTTGCAAACAATTATAATTTTTATTATATAATACATGGCAGATTTAAATGATTTGTCTGATGACCTCGTGAACAAGTACACAATTATTATTGTCGATTGATTTCAGGTAAATATTGTCGATAGCCAATACTCAAAACATACGATTTTCTCGAATCATTTATTATAACATAACAAAACTTCCCGTACGGAGTATAAACCAAATTGATCACAAACATAAAAAGTAAAACATTAAATTTATCACGGACCGTCAGACGAGGATCTATCGCCGTAAACCATAATGTTCAATATATAACGCGGAATGAGATAATACGGAGTACGTCAAAATTGATTACAATTTCAAACTGTAGGTATAAGCGCATATAAAATATAAACACAATTTTACGATGTGTTATGACGCGGACATCACTATACATAGCTTTTATTATAATATTATATATTCCACTAAGCTATATATCGCTTAACGATTTCATATTATGTGTACAAATATCGGTACTTCCGATTTATATACGTATAATTCGCATCATACGACGGTATGTAGGTGCATCATAATAGTATATAGAACGAATTATAATATGTTACAAAAGGCCTTTCAACGTTTATCGTGCATACGAGTATATGTAGGTACATACACAGGGACTACTGCCGACATATATACATAAATACATAATACACCGTATAGAGCAACGTATAACATACCATTAGCATGTAAGACCCAATAATGATGGTCTCGTCGACCACCCTCCACGTCTAAATCATACACGCTACATTTGCCAGTCCTTTGGAGGATGATGATGTGCTAAATTATTCAAGGTTTTATACAGAGCTCGCACCCCTGCCTATCCACACAAACACACCCAACCACAAACGGACCAACCGATATGCGCCCCGACTGTAATTTGTTAAACGAATAATAATATGTTACCAAAAATTATTATTTATAGAGACGGCGTCGTGCGGAATCGAAAATATAAAACGATACATGTACTTATACAATAGCAAGTACTAATAAGCGAGTATATTTTAGCTGCAATTAAAAATACATTAAACGCTGCAGTTGCTCGAATAGGGCAGTGCGCGAGCGGGTGAGCTTTGGAGGCTATAAGCCCGAGAGCGAAAATATGTATTGAAAATGTTCAAATTGCGTAATAAATGTTTATACAGAAAATCCCCCCCCCCCCCAACCATGAAAGGCTACCTTTATTTACAATATTATATTTTGTATCTTAACACTCGAGCTCCCCAGTTCCCCTGAGAATCAATATTAATATTTGAGGCACCGATTGCTATAATTAAACGATAAAGACGATTTTTGTTTATTTTCATTCAAAATACATTTATAAACGGAAATTTAATGTTATCGCCGAAGGATTGGCTTCCTTTACAGTTGTTAATCAAATTATATAACCATTCGGCCATTGCATTTATAGATTTTATACAACACTCAAATTCAAATTATATATTACTGTGGACAATTAAATTATTTGTTTCAATTTTATATAGGTATACAAAAAGCCTTTATATTAGGTAAAATATTGAAACCATTTGTGTACCAATCGGCAATCGCGTATT